AGGAAAGCTGGGTGACGGTGAGGAACGCGATGAAATGTGATGTTGAATGAGGTAGTCGTTTCGCGTTGCAAAAAACAGAGGAGAAATATTTTTATTAAAAAAAACTCGCGAAACACATGCCTCGGCACGTGCGTGAGTCTGATTGACGTTTTACCTGTGCTATCGGCTGTTCAAGACGATACAGCTGCTCCAATGACCTCAGCCACAGGCCGTGCCAGCGGCGCTCTAACGACGGGAAAGATCGTAAACGACGGTCGATGAGGTTATCGACGACGCAATCGCTGCGGTGCGGGTGTTCGGCTGCGAGGATCAGCTGCTTGTGTATGGAGCTGATCAGCAGGTTGCCGTGGCGTTCAATCTGTTGCTGTAATACCTGAAACGGAAACTACCACATCAATCAAACGGCGGTTGCGATGCAATCGAAAAAAAAATAAAAAACAAAAACACCCGTGGTCGACCGACCCGACCAGAGCACATAACATATTTCACCGTCGAAACGGCACCTCAGTCGCTTCGCTCGGTGGCCGTTCCACAAATTCCAATATGCAATACCTTCAGCGGCTTCGAAGAATCGACCTACGATCGATTGACTAGTATTTCCAAGAACAGCAATCGATAGGTGAGGGGGAACGGGGGGGGCAACGCAAGTTACAGCACAGCACAGCTTAGCCTGATCGCCCTGCTGACGACGGTGGTCGTTGCTCATAGCGATGTTGGCAGATCGGAGGTTGAATGATGAAGGCATGAAAGTGTCATGTCGATGAGAACGAAATGGCATTGATTGACAGACACACTGCCGCCAACCGCACAACTGTCACGAATACGGATGACGACAAGGGCGAAAGGCAAAGAGCGAAATGAACAGCCGTGTGTCAAGTGATCGTCATCGTCGTTGTGCGGGTAGTCTACTGTAGCGTCAGAGCCATCTGGTGACAAGCACGGTAACCGGACAGCGATAGGATCACTGGCGAGGAGACGGACGGTTGGGCAAAGGCAAGTTTTTTCTTTTGCACATGAAGGCGATCTGCGATCTGGCGATTTACGACCGCTCTTAAACACATTCGAACAAAGAGGTTCGGCAGTTTCACTCACGCAAGAGTGCCGAACCTCAAACGACGATGGAATTCTGGCCAGTGAAATTCTAGACACAAATGCGACCAGATACCGCCGATGACCTCTG